TGTGTGACTTTTGGTTGGTTACATCAGGATATAAAAGATATCCTAGGTCACAGTGTCCCTAGTAAACTACTTATTATTAAGGAAAGATCTTAGATAACCTACATTAGCCCAAATGAGCTTCTAACTGGCGCAGAAACTTGGACGATGTCGAAAAAAGATGAGAAGGCATGTGGTGCTTTCGAGAGAACTATTCTACGCAAGATCTACGGCCCTGTTCGTGTGGACGACGGGTATAGGAGAAGATGGAATGACGAACTGTATGAGATTTTTAACGACATGGATATAGTGAACCGCATAAAAATACAGCGATTGCGTTGGCTTGGACATGTTGTTCGCATGGATGAAAAGCCTCCGCTGAAAAGATCCTTAGACACCGCAGCCATGGATGGACAACGAAAGCAAGGGAGCCTATGAACAAACCGGGATACCCAGTACGCGATGAGGTATATATTTATTCCAAACTGTGGATGCTATAGAATTAAAGAAAAAAATCACTCCATTTCCTATGGGATCACCAGGAAGGATTTTGCAAACCTATTCACGGATGTTAAGGTAGGTGAAATAGACTTCTGTAAGGAACTCGTCCTAAAATATCTGTTTGCAAGAATCTCTGCAAAGTCTTCCAAATGGAAGCAGACACTTTTACGGATGCTCATAAATGTAAATTCTCAAAGAGCCGGCAATTAAATCCCTCGTTCACCAACGATACTTTTCAGACTGGTCAGGATATGACTGACTTTCCCTTGGATGGTATCCAACTCGAATGTGCTCAATGTGATGTGTGAGCGATATGGCTTGGCCTAGCCAGATTCGCCACTATAAATTAATTCGCTGCTCAGTGTCTATGTCGTCTTAAAGCTCATACAGTCCATTAAAGGACTACTCAGCTGATGAAGGTTGGGCTGTTGGAAGGTATTTTGAAGTCGACAAGGGGGGAATGTCTGGCTACCGTCCTCTGGATTTACCAGATCCAAAGCCTGTACTTAGCCTTTCACACATTACGCGCGAAGGGATACTGCAGGCGATGTTCTTATGTATTTGTTAGGCCACATTTGAAAGCAAATCAGTAGTCATCCTGCTATGCAATCTTATTTTGCATTGAAATCGATGCTAATACTCCCCCTGCTTTTTGCCACCATATTTGAAAAGTTTAGTTGGCTAAGATAGCTTTATTAAAAAATTTTTGAACCGCTCTATTGGTATTTTAATTTTGTACTCAGCGCATAGCGATTCCATCTCTATCGATTTGGAAATGGTCCCAGAAACTTACTAACTTAATTTCTTAATTAACTACTATATTTTTTTTTTTACTTTTGTAATAGTTTAAACTTACCCTAATGTTTCTTAAATGAAGATTCCAATGCAACAAATAAGCTTTTGTTTGTTTCTGAGTTAATTGGACTTTAATGCTAGACAAGCAAGCTGTAATTTAAAGCTTAAAAACAATAACAAAAAAAAAACAGAAAAACAAACGCGAGGCGAACACCGGCTAGCGACCGCATTCAATCCGTAGAAAACAATGACGTTTGCCACAATACGGCGGGGGGCTCATTGCTTTTTGGCGATGAACGAGGGGGCCTTTGGCGTTGATTATATGCGAACAAAACAATAGAATGAGGAAAGCAGTATGTAGAAACGAAAGAAATGGGTGTGTCCCACACGAGAAAGAGAATGAGTATGTGGTTATTGGGGGGACAGTGAGCGGCAGGTAGCTTGCTTACATATGTATATGTGTATACGTATGATGATAACTGTCGGTGGGCCAGTGGGCAAAAATAGAAAAAAAGAAAACAAACGAAAGCGTAAAATACATCGCTTGGCGTCCGTTTGACATCGGCGTTTATAACTTGCTGCTGTGCGCTGAACGCCTGTGAATCAGTACTGTGTTTTTCTGGAAAAAGTTTCATATCGAAAAATCGTACGATTTGAAACGATTATTGTAGTGGTACGAATGTTACCTATCGTTCATTACAGCCCGCAATAAATTGGAAGAAACGGAAGGGTTAAGGTATGCATGTAGTTGCATTGAAGTGAGGTATTTAGGTAATTGTGAATGACGAATTTGAAAAGCAAAGTCATTAGAAGTGTTAAATTACCTTTATATGTATATGGATTGTATGTATACTTTTCAGCTTATGAATGCAAATTTTTACTTACATACACACAAAAATGTACATTTTTGCCGCAGGTTAAGATCAAAAAACTGCAAAAAGCAAACGCCAGCAGTATCAAAGGCGGTCCAAAAATATGTAAAAAAAAACATTTTTCAAACATTGAAATACAAAGAATGTGCAAATTATGCACTCGCTCACTACACAATTCTGGCAGCCATGCTCTTTCGTTGTTGCACAACGGCCCCAACAAACTACAGCAATAATGGCACGTAAATTGAATAAGCCAATGAATGGATACAAGATGTGTGAATGATATACTCGTATTTATGAATTTGAAAAGAAAACCAGAATCTTGTAATCACCTTCAGCTAATACAGCGAACTCTCTCCTTAATCGTATACAAAACTTTCGCTTAATTAATAGCTTTGGGGCTAAGTCCAAGCTCGATACCTTAAGCTTGCCGCCTTGTATTTGAGGGCTTCAAACTTGTCAATCTAATCTTCTTTTTGTTTTTTGCATTAAAACCGTTTTTCGGTTTGGGCTCAGGCCAAAAAACTCAGTTCCTTAAACCAAGTGTAGACAGAACCTTCTGCACTTGGTCCTTCCATTGAGTTCAGCTGCGCTTTTGCTGGCATTGTTCTTATAAAGTCAAGCGATCATTTTACCGGAGCAGCATCATCCACACGTGGCTTATTTAAGTATATCCAAGCTATCAATATAAAGCCCACACATTCCATTTTCTTAGATTTCCATTGTCCAAGCGAACTGGACCAAAAAACCTCCAAATTCTTTTAATTTTTAGTCGGCATGTAACACGTTTCTGAGCAACAAAAAAAATACAAACTTGGTAAGAGATTTGTAGTGCATAATTTGTATTCCTTAAGAAAAGGCTCTGCGTTCATTTCGTCTTCCGAGCCCAGAGGTGCACCAGTTGCCAGAAGTTATTCTACGCGTCATCTAAAGGCTGACGTTACTGTAGGGGTTATTGCTACATTCTAGGCAGCCAAAGTCCTTCACTGATTCAAAAAAGCTACTGCCAACATTAACCTGTGCACCAATGCGCGAAAACTCTGTGTCTTCCGAGCAGTGCTTTGCCTAGTTCTCGCTCATCGACCTCTTTTCCGCGAAGCCAGCTCCACTTAATACTGTCTAAAGTATCTTTAAAACCAAAGAAAAGGAAGTGAAGGGCGTGTGTGTCGGTTTGCTCATCTAAGATACATTTTTTTGTATGATGGATGTGTCATTCCTGAAGTCACACCGGCAAGGCGCAATCAGAGCTACATAAATAACTGCCTGTTCAAACATACATATTTTTTATAAAAATAAATAAAGATCACAACTTTCAGATAGGCAGCGGAAATGCCCTAATCCTCGATTGAGAAGGAGCTGGATGAAAAAAGCCACACAACTAAATCAGATGTTTAGCGACGACTTTGAAGAGTTGAGATAAATTGACGAAATGACAAAACTTAGTGTCAACAAGTTAATGATCCGAGTCCGATGTTGGCTTATGAAGCGCTGTAAATATAAATCATCGTTGTATAGCATCGGTTTCGGTAAGAGCGATTTTTATTCGCGCGACATCAAGTTGACAGAAAATGCCTAATTTTTGTTTGTTGTGGTTTCGGTAAGCCACTTAACCAATGTACGCAGATTCATTGTCAACGATATCGCGCGAATAAAATTCGATCTTACTGAAATCGCAACCTAATCGTGGAAAAAGTATTGGGAGCATCATCATCTCAGCTTAGGCAAAGTTGGGCAGTGGCAGAAAAAGTGTTCCGTGCTCTCGATTTTCTCGTTCTACCTACAACCGCAGCAGTAGCGCTTCGCTAGAAAGCTGCTGGTTTGCATCCTCTGTTAGTAATTACTAGGGAACAGAGGAAACTGTAGTGATGCGAATATTTAGAAATAGTCCCAGCTGCGCCCTCTAACTTGGTACAGGACAACTAATAGCATTAGAGCTAGAATTTTTGGCCCAAAAACAAAAACATTAGTTTCTATGAGTAGACTCCCTAGTATGTATATTCCACGCCGTTTTCCGCGCTATTAGTCTGTGCACCGATAGAGCCCGGCCACACTTTTGCAGTAGGACCACACACGAGGAGAGAAGAGAGAACAAGTAAAGAACAACACTGGAACCAAGCAAGTAGCCTCCGAGGAGTAAAGAAGCACTTGGGCGTGTACCATAGGAAAAGATATGACAAGCTTATCAACCTCCCAAGATACAAACTAAGAATTTCAACAGGCATCATTGCAGGATCATTACAAGTTAAGAAGTCACCTGCATAAACTTGACAGCTGGTCCAACGATTCTATGCCTTTTCTGTGACAATGCAGCGAAAACTACTGAGCACATACTCCTCGAATACGATGCTGTGACGGCAAGACGAGAAGAGTACATCGGATCATTCAGCCCGCAATCAAATCGCATACGATCGATGTCACCGAATAAACTTTTTGGGTTTTCTAAGGGAATTAGGACTGAGCGAGATGTTCTAAGAGGCAAGAGGCCACAATAGATCTCCCTTAGTACTCCGCGCGTTTAAAGTTTTTGAACAGATGTTCATAATTTTGGATGGAACGAACCTGGTACCAGGTTGTGCGCTGTATTTGAGAAAAACTGGTTCAATCATCCAAGTACTTATGAATTTATGGCTAAATACATATATATATTGAACAGTTAATCAATATTTTATTTTAATAAGTTTCACAATTATGTATAAACAAACCCAATGCTCGTTTGTTTATAAATGGAGGTAAGTAGTTAATAAAAAATTCTGATAAAGACACTTGAGATCTATATTCTATGGTGCTTGAGTCCACTTAGAAATGTATTTCAATTATTGCACAAACAATTTAACAACAGAAGCACCCAGCAGCGTTCAACTACATAAGTAACTAAATGATACTTATACGGGATCGCAGTAAAGTATTTATTGTCCACCCATACCCGTCCGCTGTAAAGTAATATTCCAGTCTATCTCTGCTGCTCAAGGCGATAAGACGAATCTTATGCATTTAGTTTATAAAAATTTTGCGCGAAACTGTGAAAAAGTAGTAGCAAATACTCGAAATACTCGTTGAATACAAATCGAGTTAATAAAAAACTAATAAAAACTCTATTAAGTGCAGTAAAACAAATAAAAATGTCCTCGCTTCCAGCCACTTTCGTTAAGGGCATTCACGATGAGGAACTTTGTAAAAGCATGGAATATCGCACACTTGGACGCACTGGGTTGCGGGTGTCGAAAGTGGCTATAGGTACCGCAACGTTAAGCGACTTATATGGGTAAGTTTCGCCGAAACGACTTCTCAGTCAAAGACAGCAAATTTCGGAGTTTCCTTGTGAAAAGAAGATAATGGAAGCACAAAATAAAAAAATAAAAACACCTTCTATATACTTACCTATGTGTACAGGGTGTCCTAGACCATCCGTTCACCCCCTCTAAAATGGAGTAAATGTTTTTTATTGAAAGCCACAAACATTTTACCTACTAAATCGGGGATGCTCTATCTTTTGGTGGTATTATCAACTTCCGGTTTCTACCGGAAGCGGATTAAACTGACCGGAAGTATTGGAAAAGCCCTTTTCAATCTCTAGATGACCTTCGAACTTCAACTCCTCCTGGACTCCTGTTGAAAAATGTTGAAAAAGGCACTTCCGAGAAAAAATATTCAAACAAAAGTAGCGTGTTTTTGTCCCCGGAATCGGAATCTGTGCAGTAAAAACCTTACCTGTGTAACTCAAAAAAATGGACTTCTGGTCAATTTGACCAACTTCCGGTCCAAACCGGAAAAAAGTTGCAGCTAAAAGGTATGTATTTTTATGTGCAGAATCCGAATCAGTGTTAAAAATATGTACATATGTAATTCCATTTAAAAAATGGACTTCCGCTCAGTATAACCCATTTCCGGCCGAAACCGGAAGTCGGTAATACGCCCAAAAGATAGAGCGTCCTCGACTTGGTAATTCATATTTTTTCGTTTTTAGAATAAAAACATTTTCGTCCATTTTAGAAGTTCAGGACCAGTTGGAGTTCAAAGATCATTTAGGGGTTGAAAACGGCGCTTCTGAGAAAAAATTTTTTCAAACAAGAGTTACGTATATTTATTCTTAGAATCCGAATCTGTACTAAAAACATGCATATATATTTTGGAAAAAATGGACTTCCGGCCAGTTTAACCCAATACATTTCTCGGACATGGACGGTGGACGGGTGGTCCAGGACACCCTGTATATAGACATACATTAGACCATACCAAAAAAAAAAAATTCGCCGCGAACATTGGAGTCTAAAGTATTTTCGCAAGGTAATTTCGTAAAAAAAGTTTTTTTTGTCGTACGTAGGGATGAAGTATAGTATGTATGTAATTCGATATTTTTGTCTCGAGGAAACAATTTTTTTTGTTCCCCGTTCTAGTAATAACGTACCACTCTAATGCCAGTAAATTAATAGCGCAATTCTGTATCGGCGACAGAAATTTTGTAACTGACCAATTTAAGTTTTTTCATATATTTTTCCGTAAAAAAACTGTGACAAGAGTTTGTCACCAATACGGGTCACCAAAAAGCATTAAACTTTTGACAAGGAAGTATTGAGATTATCTATCTTTAAAAAGTGTGTTTTTGCCGAATGTGGCAGTCATCTATAAACATAAAATGTCTTGCAAAAATATTCTAGACTCAGGGGTGTACGCAATTTTTTTTTGTTTGCTTGTAAGGTGGCACGGTCTAATGTGCAAACATACATATGCCCATACGTCAATCTAAATGCGATCCATATTTTTCACTTTAAAATGCAATTAGCTGATTAAATCTCCAAACGTATCACATTACATTCAAATTGTTTATTTTATAATTTTCCATATTTTTCATTACACGCCAGTGATCTCAATGTAGATGAGGCCATCAAAATGACACACAAGGCCATAAAATCTGGCATTAACTATATTGATACGGCACCCTACTATGGTCAAGGACGCGCCGAAGAAATATTGGGTATGGCGTTGAAGGATGTGCCGCGAAAGGCTTACTACATAGCCACAAAAGTGGCACGTTATGAGAAAGATTTGGTAACTCGATTTGACTTCTCTGCGAAGCGAACACGTGAGAGTGTTGAGAAGAGTTTAAAATTGCTGGGAATTGATTATGTCGATGTTATACAGGTGAGTAAGGGTAAATGAAAACTTCACGATATCTAATGAAAGCCCACATAAAACTAGTAGCTTTTCCAAGGCAAATCATTACGAGTATCTGGTTCTATTGCATTCGATTTGAAAGCCAAACGTTATTCCCAACACCGTCGAGGTGACAGAGCTTGAAATGGGCTCCCGTGCATGTATAATTAGAGTTTAAGTGCCACCTATAGGATAGGAAGAATTTCAGCTATTGCGAAAGATCCGAAAAACTCTGCCACAACTGAAGTCTAACAGCCTTATTCTGTATCACGAACGATAGGCAACACGAACGATTCGTATGCAGAGCAATGCTTCAAAAATTTGTCCGGCGGCATCATTTTAACCGGTTTAAACGCAACCGAGACCATTGCAACGTAACGTATGAAAAGCAAGCCGAAGACGACCGATAGAGTTTAAAATCGCAATCAGAGAGGTTGTCGTCTGCAGACGAATCGTTCGTTTTGCCTATCGTTCGAGATACAGAATAAGGCCCTAAATATTGTAACAGGCCGAAGTCATACCTAACCAAACTCGGCCCGTCATACCCAATTTATGTCCAGCTTGTGCAGGTTCTCCTCACAATACTACAAACACTCCACTTAAATAACATAGCTCTACCTTTAGCTCGATCCCGTGGAAACAGCACGATTCTCGGCCCAACCGTTAGTGGAGCTTTGAGACAGCAATTGATAGGCTAGCCGATTAAGGCAGTGCTACAACAACAACAACAACAACAACAACAACAACTTCGAATGGGCTGAAATTGTGGTACACCCAAATTGATCTTCCAAGTACTCAGACATAGTTGCCCGTTGTACTTAAGCACTACTCTCTGTATTAAAGGATAGCATGGAAAACCATTATTCCTCTGCAAACTTACCAGACTAAATATTTGATGAATTTTAGTACTTTGTCTTGTCTAAGCAAAGATAATGTAACTCGTCTATTATAAATACATTAGACCCAAAAAAGGCACCGTCTCAGTTTAACCAACGTCCCACATCTGCAGAGAAAACCTCTCTGTACTATCCACATAATCCAAGCAGGGTCTACGTAGTGGGTCGATGATGCTTCTGGGTGCTCATATGTCCCCGCCTGGATTGTTTCTTATAATCAGTCCAATCAGCGTTTATAGCTCACTTATTCTCTGTTTGTGAAAGCATTTCGTAACCTCGCTTTTTTTTGGAAATACTTAGCTGCTTAGTAAGAAGTAGTATTGCATCCACGCTTCTAATGAGCCTTATTTGTGAAATTCCTGATACATCTAACATTTACCTAGTCTATGTCTGGGCCTATAATTAGCTCCGGTACGATCAGATGCTCCAAAGAACCGCAGATCGCCCAATTCACCAACCAGTTCATTGCTTTGAACACCAAAAAGTCCCGGCACTAACATGAGTTTGCAGTAGAGGTCAGCCTTAACTAACATTTTAACCCAAATTCTTGAAGTGTTACGCGCGGTTTCCTAGGCCTTAAAAGCAGCTTGGCTGTTATTGCAGACCCTGATTGAATGCCCCACTAGCTTTCGCCAATTATGCATTCTTTTACATTAAGTATTGCAAAAAAACTTAGGTTGACCATTGTCCAAAGAAGTTACACTATGTGAGTTTCCCAAGTCAGTTTCCTATTTAGAGTTGCTAAACATAAGCTTAAGCCTAGGCCTGTTCCAAGTCTTATATCAAATACTATAAGACTCACGGTATTTTTGTCCCGAGGTTATCCTCTCCCAGCATCTGGCAGAGTTAGCCGTAAGCTTATGTTTTAGCAGATATTCTTACGGTTCGAGCGGCGCCAATAATCTTTTCAGATAGTTAAATGATCATTAATACTGCATTCGGTAACAGATTATCTCGAATTGAAGTTGTCGAAAAGCAAGCAAGTGCGGCAGACTTACGTCTAAGAAATGTATCAAGGCTAAAAAAGGAACAGCTTTTAGTCTATCACTCTTTAATTAACTGCAAGTGACATTATGTCAACTACGACCTGGAGGCCGGCGAGAAGGATCGACATATTGTTCATGAGACTTCGCTTTGCTCGAGAACCTTTGTCTAATGGTTTAAGAGCTTAGGTACGGTTAATCTAAAAGCCAACGATCTCTTTTGTGACCTAAACTTAAATTATGTTGGTCAGGTATTATTGCCACCGATCGGCCTTACGAAGAGACTGACTGACTTTGTCTTAGCTGAAGAACAAATTTTTGTTCTTGAAATTTTTACCCATTTTGGGATGTCTGCCTCCCGCAAATGGGTTTCCCTTTATTTTTTCCCAAGTCTATAGCTCCATTTGTTATAGAAGGCTAGTATGTGGAGGTCCTACATATCTCATAAATCTGCATTTTTCTCTTCAGATTCACGACATCGACTTTGCTGAAAATCTCGACATTATTGTCAACGAATGCCTACCCGAACTGGAGAAAATCGTCAAAGAAGGTAAAGCGCGCTTTATCGGTATCACAGGCTACACATTGGCAGTGTTAAAAGAATGCATACTCCGTGCGCCAGGTCGTATAGATGTAAGTATTCTATAAAAATCCGTAAGTGATAACTTCTACAAACTTATACATATCTAACACTTACACAGGTAATACTCTCATATTCCCGTCACACACTGCTCGACGATACGCTAAAATCATATGTGAAATTCTTCCAAGACCATAATATCGGCATTGTTTGCGCTTCAGCACATGCGCTGGGCTTGCTGACCAACACTGGACCACAGCCTTGGCATCCTTGTAATGAAGAGCTAAAAGCATTATGCCAGAAAGCAGCGGATATTTGTAAGAAATCCAATATTGAGCTTGGAAAGCTAGCCATGTATCATTTTATGCAATTGGATGGCGCGAGCACTTTCGTAGTTGGCATGGAAACACGTAAGCTGTTGGACATCAATCTGGAAGCATACTATAATGGTCTCACCCTGAAGGAACAGGAGGTGTTGAAACTTTTGCGTGAAACGTAAGTGACTATTCTCCAGAAATAATTTTTGACCTAGCTTAGTTTTTGTTTTGATAGTAGCCCAGCAAAAGGCTAACTTCGCATTTGGAGCCGGTCAAAGTATACGAGTCTCATTTGGTCCATTTTACCTTTCCGTAATCTTTGTAAATGTACATATGTTTGTGGAAGTACCAAGAGTTGGCGTTTGGTCAGCTTAAGCAACTACTTTGACCGTCTGCAGTCCACCACCGACGAGTAGAACCTTGCAGCTTTGCTTGTCGGGATTTTTCACTCAGCGCTCAATGAGTTCACTAACTGGAACTCATCTAACTGGAAATAGGTTGCAGGTTGTCAAGAAACTTCTGTACCCTCTCTGCTCCTTTAAAACGACCACTTCTGTCTGAAATACGCTGCAGAAATCCGAGAGCATAAGCTTGAAGTTAACGTAGAGTTCCTGACAGCAGACAACTACTCTAACTCTTCGATACAACTCGATCCATTCGTGAAGAGGTATTCTCTATCACAATAACTTCTGTGTCGAGTAAGATTAATTCCGAGGCAGTTTGAGTAGGCAGGAAATCGAAGTTTCTAGAGAGTCGATTGCCCATATGCCTGAAGAAACCAGCTTTCATGTGGACATGGCTTGGTGTGACATATCATTCTCAGTGGTTGCTTCTGCCTTGGAAAAGTTCACCTTTTTGAGGAGAGAGCTCTGGCTCCTAAATTTTTATAACGGCCATAAATAGCAATACACCTATTAGAAATATAGACACAACTGTTCATGTATATCTATTCTACTAATTTCTGTACAATTAATTTTTAACAAATCTCATTTCTTGACAGCATTTTTACCAAACGGTACAACTGGGATGGCATTGAATTGGAGGAATACAGAACAGCTGTAGCCAAGGCGAAGTGAACAGGGATGCCTTCGTTTTACGCTTACACTACTGTCATCGTCTTTTAAAATTAGATGTATCGTTTCAAATACTTCGTTAAATTGTAAATAAAAACTACAAGCAGTAAAATTAGAAGGGATATTCTCTTAAATGGGAGAAAGACTCGATTAATTGTAAATAGAGAGCTGTTAATATTTTTATGAAAATTCTTAACGAATCCTTGATATACCCATGATTTTGTTCCCGAGAGGGAAGCGAACGGTTAACTTACTCATATCAAGGAGTCGTACGCTCCTCTTTGGCAAATCCACGGCCATAACATTACCCTACAGACGAAGGATGTGTCAGGTTCCAGTTTCTAGATTAGTAAGAGTTCAATCTGGTGTAGTATCCAGACAATATTTGTGGTGACAGGTAAAAGCTTTCGCCTGCAACACCGGATAATAGAACTTCGTACAAGACTACGTAAAGCTTGTGAAACTAAGTGATTGTCATTCAGGTCCAACGGTTATTAAATGTAGTTTGGTATGCGTAGTAGTACGTACTAGTTCCACGATTGAGAGAATACAAAGGTTGCGCCGATCTCGGACCGCTATTCCTCTCTTAACGAATTTGACAGAATCGTTGTTTGCATGANTTTCTTCTTCTTCCATTCTTGCTCACGTTTTGGCATTTCTCTCTCGCAATTGCACCAGTGTGACGTCACACAAAAGTTATTCTCAAAAATCCTCTCTGATCGGCGCAATCTTGTATTCTATCATTCTTGTACTAGTTACGTACTGGCGAGTCGATTACATTGAGACAGACGTCAGATTGCAGTCGCACCTATAGATGATCAGACGTTGAAGGCGACTGATAAGCCGCAAGCGCCAGAACAGTGCAACTAGATTCACCTTATCTTTATGACTCGCTTTCAAATTGTTTGCTGGTAAGAAGCCGTTTTACAAAAATTAGACAAAAGTTATGCTCTACTTGAACCGTCTGCCAAAAAAAGTGGTCCCGGTAACTTTCAGTTGAATGATAGTCAGAAAACTTTTCCTATTTGCATGAATTGGGAAAAAACTCTACACGGCTAGTAAAAAATGTTCCATGTACCCCTAAACACTATTCTCGATATCTCCATTTTCGTGAGAGTAACGAGTAAGAACTTCACGAAGATGCGGCCTTATCGGAATAGTTGTAAACCTCAGAAAGAATAACTCCTTCTCGATGTGGCGTCATTATACGGACAGTTGGGAAAGCTCTCTTTAGAGTGCTTTTAACCAGATTTTGACAGAACGTTTACAGCGCATAGGAGGCCGATTCGTATCTAGCACTTGAAAAAAAGCAGTAGGATGGTCCAGGTTTAGCCAACCAGAGAAATCAGTTCGGTAAGCGGAACCAACAATGAGTTATGGGTATGGGTATGCTTCAACAACAACAATGATTTTTAAACGTAACTAAACAAAGCAACTCATTAACCTCGTTTAACGAACGAATGCTAATCGGGTGGTGCGAAATAAGCGCAAATAAAAAAGTTACAAGTCAGGGGTACGCCGCAGGGGCAGTAATCTCACCGCTTCTGTGGAACATAGCAGTAGATAGCCTCTTTCAAGAACCTAAAGATAGAGGTGGGAAGATAATTTTAATAGCTATCTCGGGCAAACACCGTTCAAAATTTGCTGACCTAATTCATAGATCTCTTAAGAATCTTACCCCTTTGGTATAACAGGCGAGGACTGGGAACAAATCCTGAATAGCCTGACCTAGTGCTCTCCACTAGGAAGCACAAGATACCCGACCTCGAGACTATAATTATATAGGGAAAGTCCTTGTAGTAAAAGAGGATACCACATATCTAGGTCTAATACTTGAAACTGGGATACTATACTGGGGCCCAATATTTCAAATAGAGTTCGCAAAGCAAGAGTAGCACTATACTCTTACCGCAGGTCAGTAGGAAAAAGATCATGGTATAATCGTATAGTGCGACACCATCGGCAAGGGGAGAGATGGATAAAGGCCAATCGCTTGCGTTCACACCATAATTAGTTCTATGAGAATAACACCATCCAAGGCACTGTTAAATTCTAGTTATGGTCATGGTAGGATTCTAAAGGAGTATTCGGGGCTTTCCGGATTGGTAGTCACGCACTTCTGAACCCTTCTCCCATTACAGCGTTTAAGACCTTCCTAACCTCAAGGGAGGAGTGCAAACGAGACGCTCTAAGGAGTGGGACTCGTCACTCCATGTATACACATATGGCTCAAAGATCGAGGGTAGGGTTGGTGGAGGTGTATACTCCGAACACCTGGGAATCTTCCTTAGATTTTGTCTTCCGTTTCTTTAGCTTTCGTCAGGCGGAACTGATGGAAATCGACCGTGCCACAAAACTGGTAAAGTGTGATATGATATCTTAAGCTGATATCTATATCACCATTGACACTCAGGCGGCAATCAAATCCCTTGCGAAGCAGTCGACGATGAAATGCCAAACAATTTCGCCCAAAGGTGATATGGTTCCGAGAACTGTGACGTTGAGGAGAATTGTAAGGCCGATAAACTGGCGCGGATTGGCATCAAACTCCCTATTGAGGATATAAATGATGAAATAGGAATACCCTTACAAACTTGCAAATTACTTATTTCCGAGAGGTTTACTGAAGTGACGAACGACAGATGGTATGACGAAATCACCTGCAAAACTACCCAGAAAATGGTGGCCGGTGATCAGCGCTAAACTCAGCGGCTTACTACTGACCCTAAATAAGCATAATATCCGATGGTTAGTATCTGTTATTACAAGGTACTGCCTAATTGGCAAGCATGCCTATTGACCAGGCGTACGATTACATGACTTCTGTAGAAGTTGTCAAGATGAAGAAGGTGATGGTATGATCTGTCAAAGTTTGGATTTTTTCGTGATTCTGACTAATCATGTAATTCTTCAAATCGTTATATCTGGGATCTGCTCATCGTAGACTTCATCTTAACGTCATTTTAAAGCTAAAGAAACGGGCTTAACATTTCTATATATAAGATTGTATTGATTGTCCTAAAGCTAACTGAACTTTTTGAAGTTGATTTGCATAGTGTAGACCAGTAAATTAGGGATTTAAAATTGTACCATCGTATTCCTTGTTTAATTCTCTATAAAAAAAACGGGGTTCAAAAAAATGGGCGTTTTTCAAGAACTATTTTTAAAATATATGTGTTTTTTATAATGAGATGGTTTATTTTATGATAGTCAACAATTACTTCGAAAACTTATGATGAGATATTTTTAGCAAGGTGTTAAAAATCGTGTTTTGAAAAAATTTAAATTTTATTGTGGATATGTCCGATTTCGGGCATACACGTCTGATAATTCTTATTTTCCATGATTATTTGGTCAGACATCTGTTAGATATCCGTCAGAATCGTCGGTCAGACTTTCCCACGTCGAGTCGGTTAGACTTCCTGTCAACCTCTCCATATGCTTTTCTGACCGATATCGGCCAAAATCATACAGATTTCTGACTTTTTTGCCGACGAGTCCGACGGATATCTAACAGATTTCTGACCAAATAATCATGGAAAATAAGAATTATCAGACGTGTATGCCCACTACACTAAACAAGAGCATTTGCGTAACGAAAATTTTGTAAACACAGGAAGATACATATTTATTCTACAAATAAATGCAAAAGAAATCATCGCCTCGTTCAGGATATGAACAGTGGTCACATCCGCAGCAAAGCATCATGTATTGCCTCGCTTCAGCCAACTATGCCACAGCACTCGTTGAATATAGAGCATCTTAAACGCTAGATGTACCATCGTTTTTGCAAGTACGAAAATCCAAATTTTTTTTAATTTTCGTTCACATATCTACATCTACATACGTACCAAAGAATATATGTGCGTAAATGCTTTTTCGCTTGTGTGCATAAAGAAAAATATCAACAGATACCTAGCAAAACTTGTCAAAATTTTATTCAAAATTAAAAAAAGTAATTTTTGGTAAAAGTTCTTAATTATATTAGTTTCCTCTTTTTATTGTAATTATCTAGGATGCATTAATTTATTTTAATTAAATTTGAGATATTTCATTTTAATTGATGGTACTGAATTCTAATTTATTTCATTGCATTTGATTTCACTTGAATTTATTTTAATTTGTCGTATTTTATTTCAATTTATTTTATTTTATTTCAATTTATTTTATTTCATTTTATTTGAATTTATTTAAACTTTCTTGAACTCGTGGTATTTCACTTCAATTTATGTTATTCTATTTCATTTCAAATTCAAATTTACTTGAATTTATTTCAATTTGATTAAATTTATTAGAATTTATTTTATTTAAATTTTTCATATATGTATATATTTTTTTATTTGAAAACCGCATAGAAAAGTTGATATGTATGTAGTTCGAACAAGTAATTTTTACCAAAAAAAAAACCTACTTCAAATCCCCTAAAATAAAAACAATATATATATATATGTATATCTCATGATCCACTGATCGGATCCTAACCAGATTAGTATGGGACCCCCTCCGTGACACTACCTTTCTGATGCATGAATTATCGAAATCGGTTGACGTGGTCCATAGTTATGCGGTAACATACATAACAAAAAAATAAATAAAAAATAAATAAATATAAAAAAATAAAAATAAAAAAAATATTCCGACGAACTGATAACCTCCTCCTTTTTTCGAGGTCGGTTAAAAATATAATTACTCTTGGAACATTTCGGTATACTTGTTCGAGATACTACTTTTATAGTTTCCTCTTATAATAATAATTATAATAATTATGTATATTCATTATATTATTTAAATTTATGCTATTCAATTTGTTTGAATTTCTTTCAATTTAACGTATTTTATTTCAATTTATTTTATTTGAATTTACTTGAATTTTTTCCCTTTGTATGCATTTTTTAGGTGCCTACAAAAATGTTCGATCAAATGAAATGCTTATTTGGGATTACAAAATAGAAAATTAATTTGAATTCATTTTTATGCGGTTTGTGTCACAACTAAATCGAATATAGCCGTCATCGATTCGCCAACAGTTAGCAAGTAACGAAACGAACGAACTCAATGAGGTACCACCAAACTCGCTATCGTCTATGCGTGGCAGCTATAGTCGCTGAAATGCAAAAAAGCCGTAACAAACTAAAAAGTTGTAATGCTTAAAATTATGTGGGGACTTAGAATTCGATGAAATGCATCATAATCAATCAAAAGGGAATTTTGAATTTTTACTGAGCTACGGATTTTTGTATTTCAGCGACTATATGAGTTAGGGCCTTTCTATATTAAGGTAACGATATGTAAATCATTAAAAATATCGGGATTCTGGAGCTTAAATTTCGGGATTTCGGGACATCGCAAAATGTCCGGCTAACCGGGATTGAATGCCCTCCTAGTATGTTTGTATGTACGAAGGCATCAATGTTTAACGCATGCATTGCTAGCAAAGTGCCATGCTCCATTATCCCACCCCACTTCATGCCCATTCTACCGCACACTCACACACACCCTTCGATTATCGACCGTCACATATGTATGCATGTATGCCATTGTGTGTACTTAGCTGCTCGTCTTAGTTTGTTTTTGTTCGACCACAAAAAAAGAAAATAAACATTCTCGCCAACAAGTGTACCACGTCGTTCATCTCCATTGTTATGAGATCCTATTCGAATTCTCATATGTCAAATCCCAACAACAATATTAAAAAAAAAATATTTTTAATATTATTTTACTTATAATTTATTGCTGTACAAAGTAAGGTAATAAAAATTTAAACATATGTACAAACAAATGCGATTGTTATAAAAATGTACATACGTATGTATGTACATACCCTGCCAGCCAAAAGTGGTGATGAAGTATACTTATACACGTATAAAAATACGAAAACAATGCAGTTGCGTCGCTGCCTTTGAACGCCGGCTGCGCTGCATGTGAACGGAAAGCAGCAAGATACCTTAACATATCGCACACGATCTTCGAAAGTGACACAACTCAAAATTTGGCATATTTGAAATGATTACACAGCTTTTATTTACCTGTCAGCAAAAGCTGGAGCAAATTTTTGTTATAACCCTGCAAACCAAAGTTCCCGAAATCTTAAGGAAATTGTTAGGAGTATCTCATTTCTGTAACGATTTTTTTACGAATTTTCAAAGAAAATTATATGAAGTGGTTGACACGAACTCGTAAAGAAATTTCTGTACGAAAAATAAAGAACATTCTGGAAAAATTCTGAAAGATTTTCTTCACATAGCAGCATTATTTTCGTTGCTTCACAGATTTTCTTCCGAAATTTCGTAAAAGAATGGAAGTGTGCGTAATTTATTTCATTTTAGAAAATTCGGCAAAAAATCTAATTAAATCTTAACGAATTCTTTACAATTTCTTTACAATGCTCTGAAAAAATGGTTTGCAGGGAATTTGTTGAAAGTAGTTTTTCGAATTTTCTGACGAACGGGTAATTTTGAGTCGTGTCACTTTTAAAGATCGTGTGCGATATGCATACATAAGTAGTACTACAACAACAACAACCACGGAACATGTATGCTGATAAATTGGATCCAGCGGGAGTAAACTACCTCGCCAAGTTTCTCAATATGTCTTTTACCACTGTCATCATTGCACTAAAACCGTCGAAATCTGCCATCAAAGGAGTCTTGTCGGCCGATAACTCTCCCTTTGCAGATAGCGAAGAGACTTAAGGCGTTGCTACTCCCGCACTTCACGTACCGTCTGACCCAAGCGAGGCAAATCACAACAACAGCACTCAACGCCACAAACACTCAGATAACCCGTCCCGTAACAGTCCTAGTAGCATTGGATCTGTCAAAGGCATTTGACACCGTCTGCCACTCTCTAACGGAGTCAGCGAACTATCTGAGTGGTCGAGCTTCGTCAGTAATTTTCAGATATAGAACTTCCAAACCAAGAAGAATTTAACAGAGGGTTACACTGGGGTGTCCTTTCTTGCTTCTGTTTGATGTCTATATTTCGAAGCGCCCTCAACCACCAGAGCGAGATACTTCGCCGACCTAAACGGGGTTAGATCGTCCGGAAAACCCGACAACCCTAACGGCCTTGTCCCTGTGGACTAACCCCACAGAAGCTGCACGCTTCCTAGGGTTGCCGTTAGTGGAACTTGACGACAACGACTGAGATACCAACCGTCCTGGGCGGGGTTGTTGTAGCCGCTACAACAACTACAACAACAACCAGAGCGAGTCACCATCATTTCATATGCTGACGATGGCTCGATAATGGCTCTCCGGAAATGGCATTGAACATCTGTGTCGAAAGTAAACGTTACAAACATTTTCCATTCCCCTGAATACTACTAAGAACGTAGTAGATAGGTATGATATAGAGCTATGCACTGCAACCAAGAGGTCTAGTGTGCTCTCAACCATTCAGTCTGGGCTATCACTGAATCCATCGCAGTCCGATTTTCGTGAAATCTACGAAAATGCCATCACTGAATCCGAATTGCTGCAAACGTATGCATTCAAAGTAAAACTGGACTACGATGGAATCAGTGATAGCCCCCCAAGCCCACCGCGAGTATCTCATCGAACATTTCCGACATTTGAAGAGCTCTCCAGGGGTCAGCGATTGTACAAATTCAGCACTTGGCCAGAGTTCGCCTAAGTACCTCTGCCTCCGATCGAATCACAGAAGCGATATAGAACGATGTATAGCTTATTTATAATTTATTCAAAATGTTCCAGAGTGGAACGTGTATACTAATTTGCTTAATAATAACTTTTTTATTGTACAGTAAAAAATATTATTTCGCACGTTTAATAATACAGAGATGTAATTCAAAATTACCGTGTGATTTCAACATACGATTATCAATATTTAATTGCGTTTTCTCACAAAATTGAAATTTTGAAATAATTCTGTGTATTATTAAACGTGCGAATTGTTCGTATTTTTTAGTCGTAACTATCACCTCATGTTCTTCTCATGTCATCTTCTGGTTGATAAACAATGTGACGCTCTGCCATTTTAGCATTCTTTACAATTGAAAATATCTCCAGAGTCAAATTATCATAAACATCTTCGGACTTAAGTAATTTAAGTTCACTGCAAATCATCGCACAAAATGTTTCTTCTTTGCTGAGATCAGTCGGCATTTCTACCTCCGATTGTGGCGATTCCGGCTGTGTCAGTTGTGGTTGTGGCGATTCCGGTGCTGCTCCGTTTATCTCACTCATGTCATAATTACTTCTCTGAAATTAAAAGTTGGTAAAGTAAATGATATTAAATGTTTATGCTCCGCTTACAGTGCTTTCATACTCTACGCGCTCTATCTCTTCGTCTGTAGAATCTTGCCTTTCTTTCTAAAGTCAACAAAAACCAAATTAACGGTGATGATGATGACGATATTTGCATATACATACCTTCTTAATAGCCAGACGTTTTCCGTTCATCGGGCGGTTATTAGTTTTTTCCTTTAAGGGGTCATCACCATGAAACTAGGAGGTATAGAGCTTTAAGTATAAGCATAGGTACATATGTATGTATGTACACATGTTCTTAACAAAAGGAAACAGATTTCAATCATTTTTACATTACTTTAAACGGCTTTGAGGTACGTTTTTTTTTCTATACATGAATTGTTTTAGGCTAATCAATTATGTAGAACATATTTACATACATTACCATTACCATAAAGTTTATATAAAGCTTACCGACTCCATAAGAAGGCTTGTTCGTAAAACAACTACGGGGTCCAAAAAGGTTAACTCATCATAGTAGAATAAGCGGGGCTCATAGGTGGTACCTTTTCTTCTCTCGACTTTCTTTTTTTCAACAACATAATTGGTACGTAAATGCTTGATTTTCCTCTTTACTTCCTCAATATCCCTCTCGAAATGGTCTGCAATTTCTCTCCATGCTTCTTTTTTCATTTCGAGATCCTTATATTCTGGACTAAGGCAGTTCCAGAGGCACTCAGATTCTCTATACATACATATTAAATCTAAAATTTCTGCTTGCCGCCAATCCATTTTTTAAATGTTCAGAAAATTTCCGAGATCCTGCTGGCTGATACACTGTCGGTTTTATAGAAAGCTATGTGGAAATTCTGTGGAGCAAGGTAAATATGTTTATGTGTTATTATACACGGGATATTTATAGTAAACTAGCTGAAGTACAAAATTACCTTTCTCCCTCTTGATTTGAATGTTAAATAGTAATTGTTAAGTGAAATGATAATTAAGCTGCTGTATATAAGAACGCACTTAAATTTTCTGCAATTTCTTTTCGATTTTAATTGTTTACAAAATGCGTTCTAGCAAAAATTAAAACTAGCTGTCAAGCAAGCTGCAACAGCAGAGAGAAAATCAAGCAAGCCATTTTGGCTGCTACAAACATGCCAGAAAATGATTGACAATTGTTAGGTACACGATATCGAACCGAAAGTATCGATATAGTACTCATATAAAGTAGCGATGCAAATAAATCGGGTATTCATTAAAATCGGGATGAAAACGCTCGATATTCCAAATATCGATACAAAATTCAAAAAATAAAATCTGTAAATTGGTCTCATTTTCTAATAAAGAATTAACACTGCATTTAAATACAAAAAACAGAAACAAATCTAATTTGCCTTTACACGATACACGTCAGATACTTCGGCTGATAAAAAAAAGCAAAAAGCTGGAAAGATATTTACATTTTGGAACTTGGAAAATTATATTAGTCTTGTCTAATTTCCAGAGTTTTTAAATTTCGACGTTTTCATTTCTTTAACATTTGGCAGATTGGAAATGCCCATATATACTTTTTCTTAAGCACTTCAAAACGAATATAATGTACAATATATTTTTAATCACATTAATTTTGAAATATGCAAGGGTTCTGGCACTCGTAATTAAAAAAATATCGTTTGAAAACTATCGAGGAAAAAGTTTCGGTATTGAATGGCAAAAATATCGTATCGAATCTCGTATCTACAATAGTGAAGTGAAAACCCGTGATCTTTGGAAAACTTAGGACTGCTGATTTTGTACACGTTTCCAAAGACACTTTGTAGAACGAACTCAACAAGATAGGCGAATTTCGTATGGCCAATCATTTTTTTAATTAATGATTAGGGAGTTAAGTTCGAAAGTCTTCCAGTTAACGCACTTTCAAACGTTCTACTTCAACCAATGCCTGATGTATTTCATCAATCTTTATTATATGCCATAATTACGGTGACCATCCGTTCTTTTTTTTAAGGGGCAGTCCTTTATTTTAACCCCCTGTCCTTTATAATTTTTTTCAAAATAAAGGACGCCTTTCTTCTTTCGACAGTTTCTTAAACTGTCCTTTAAATCAGCTCTGCATTTTTCAGAGGTAAATTTTTAAAAACACAGAATACGAAAAATAAAAATGCCCCTTATAAAATGTAAAGAAAACCTTCGCCAGTTTGTTTCGCACCCAACTTAAGGATTTCTATTTAATCACTAATCTTTGTACAATCTATTAAGCGCAGGGAAAGTTGTGTCCAGGATCGTGTTGCACGCAGAGTTTCCAGTTCCACTGAAAGTGAACAATAAACCCCCTGTGGCACAATGGTTCCTGGAGCCTTCATTTGTCACTTAATTTGATTAATTTTTGCTTGCAATATTTGCAAGAGATCAGTTGGACCTAATTTGTGAACTTTTATTTGATCATAATAACTTTTTTGGCGCAAAATGCAAAAAAGTGGCAATTTAAAAAAAATTTATTCTCCAGTTCCAGTTATTAAATGTTACATAACAAAAAGTAGTTGAAAACAATTGTATGGTTCTTTTAAAACGAAAAAATTACACAAAAAAAGAATGTTTGAAATGTTATAAAAAATGTTCACCAAACTAAATATATATATATTTTTTTGGTTTTTAGTAAGAATTGGTTGAAAAATCAAGGCTCCGAAGAATTATGAATATTAAATTCCAATTTTGTACCTCTGTGTGCTGGCTTTGGCGTGCAGTATGAATTATGGTAAACGCGTTTTGGCAGCAAAGGATGGCGAAGTCCTTGAAAAGGATTTGGCTTCATTTTTCTAAATCGGTTAATTAACTGGTAAATATTTGAGTTAAATTACGATATGGGAAAGTACTTTTATCATACAAGCTGTATGTATGTATTCCCAAATAATTTTGAAAAATGTCCTTTATTTTACGTTGGTTAAAATGGTCACCGTAGCCATAATCCATTTTAGTTTAGGATCACAATGGTTCTGTATGGACAATAACTAGTATTTGCAGATTTGGACCATGTTTGTGGTTCAAATTTGATAACGAATTTTTTTAAGTTTTGATTGCCATTTAAAATTTATTTTCAAAATACAACTGGGTACAATAAGAAAAGCCACGAACAATACAGTTAAATTTATGAGGACTTCGAATATTTTTCACTCACGGCTTTCTAAAAAAAGGTAGTTATTGCATCACGTCTTGGATTATGCAAGCCTATGAAAAAAATTGATCTCGTCTTAAATAGGCTAAATAGTAAATGCATTAATATCAAGTTTTACTATCATAAACTAAACAACAAGCTATGCCTGCAATCTCTGAAATCGCCAATTACTGTTGCTTCTTTTCAAACTGTTCTATATCACATATATTTATCAAATTGAGTTCTACGACACCTTTCCCCATGAATGCCGTGAACTTGCCGGAATCCGCCAGGGTTTTAACATCGCGCTTGAATACTCTGGGAACGTAATTCTCAAGCATATAGACTTTCATGTGGTCACATTCGTTAACGATTCGCTCAGAGATCATTGAGAGATCAGTAATAGGCGGCGTGACAACATGCATGTTGCGACGAACGCGATTAGTGTCTATGTTGTAATAGCCCGCACCCATCTTTTGTACCAAATCAAGGAAACTCTCTGGTGGTAGTGTTGTGTCACGATCCAGTGGCATAACGAAACAACGGTTTGCTGCAGTATCAATGATCGCCGACTGATTCTCCTTGAAATCGTGCATAAAACGTCCCCGCCGTCCTCCCTTAAAATCAGGCACATCAATCTTAGCGTAGCTTTCATTATCGCTCATATCCAACTCGATTTCTTCACGGAAGTAATCATCATCCAAAGCCTTATAACCATTGAAGTTTGTAAGGCGTGAGAACAGATTATACCGGTCCAGCTCATTGTTTTGTTCGTAGAGACGTTGCACACTTTTATTGCCAGTCGCCACGTATGGAATGTGGCAAAGTGCACGGTAGTGTATATTCGAACCAGTAGATGAATATGTGCGATACAGGGTGTATCCGCCAAGAAGGCCGATCACAATGACCACAACAGTGATGAGGAATAACAACACTGACTTCCTGCACGATCCAGGCGGGCGATTGCAAATCATAGGTTCGCCATCAACGTATCGATGGTAGGGCGATTGGCTCAAAAGAGTTTCAGGTGTCACGCCTCCTCGGAATGATGGTGCATTATCGTGTCCACCCAACGTCAATGGTAGAGGAACCTTTTCAGCCGTTTTTTCATTCGATGGTTTTGTTAAAATAGTCATTTTTTCAAATTTTGAGTCGACTAATAATTGGTAATCCGTTTTTTATACAAATTTTGTATTTTTGACTTTTGAAACTGTAACTTGATAGCTGGCACTTTTCCTCAAGGTAGTTTTGCGTGCCTGCTTCTTTTCTCTGCAATCACAGTATGACTGGCATATTGCATTCATCAGTAATAAATCTATTATTATCAGGAGTCTGTTTAAATTTGCACTTTACGTTTTAATGTTCTCATATTACTAGGTGTGTAATAATGTCACAATGGCTTAGAAGGTTTGTAAATAAAATGGGAATATAAAAATAAAATGGCTAAATGGTACTCTATACATATTAATATGTTAAAGCCTCTCCAATTCCATTTGTCGCTCGGCAATTTTGGCGCTCCTTACTGCTGCAAAAATATCTGAAGTCACATTATCATACGTTTCTTCTGATTTCAGTAGTTTAAGTTCGCTGCAAAGCATCGCACAGAATGTGTCTTCCTTACTAAGTATTAAGTGTTTTACTATCTTTTTTGGTGGCTGCGTTTTTGGAACATCATTCGTGCGTCTTACCTAAAAATTAAGAATGTTGGAGTAAATAAGGAAAAACATAGTTTTGCGAGTCGTACAGTGGATTTTGAAATGAAACGCGGATGTGCCTTTGGAGAATTGGTGGAATCTAAACGACTAATCTGAAAATAAAAGCAATGTTAAATAAAGCCGCTACAACAACAACAACAAAACGAATGAATCGAGATTTCTCAAATATTCATATATATGAATAACATACCGAGGTGTTTAATTCCTGCTGCGTCTCCTCTTTCTCGGAATCTGGAGAAAGTGAACGTACCTTCTGTTGGTGCAATCCATACTTTGCCTAAAATTCAAGAATAGTAGAGTAAATAAAGAAAAAAGACTGTGTTGAAAAGCGTACAGTTTGTATTGGGTTGAACCTCAGAGTTGCCCTGAAAGCAGGATTGGTGGAATCTAAACGCGTAATCTGCAAATAAAAAATAAAGTTTTAGTAAACTAATGAATCGAGATTTCTTAACTATATGTATGTATGGAAATCATACCGAGGTTCGCAATTCTCGCTGTGGCTCCTCTTTTTCGGAATCAGTAGAAACTGAACGTCCTCTCTGCAGGGGCAAAACATGTATTATTAGTTATATTTGTATTAATTTATACATACATACATATGTATATACAAGCATATAAATTACCTTTTGATTTAACACAACCCTGTTGCTCATTGTAGGCTACAAAATAAGTAAATTTTAAAATCTTAATATGCTTAAATCACACATTTGTTCAGATACCACGCACCTGCGGTGGTTTTTTTATGATTACAGGATCCAAGAAACTCATTTGTTTGTAGTAGTACAAATGCGACTCATATATCGGATCACCGTTGCTATCAGTTCTACTTTCCACTTTCTTCTTTTCTGCCATATAACAGGTGCGTAAATGTTTTATCTTCTTTTTGATATCATCAACCTTTTTGCCAAATTCTTTTGAAAGTGCTATCCACGAACCTTTTCTCATTTCCTGTTGTTTATAATCTGGACTTTGAGTGTTCCATAAGCACTCATATTGCCTATATGAGTCTAAAAGTTTTAAAATTTCTGTATGGCGCCAATCCATTTTGCAAAGTATTAATTGCTTTAAGTTTCCAAGTCCCCTGCTTATTTCATCGGCAGCTATGCGTAGACACTTGGTAAACACTGTAGAAATTTATTGAAATTTGTGTGCGCGTGTGTTTGTGTTCCACTGCAAATTATTCGCAGCACACCATATATGTTAGCAATTTTGTCTAGAGCCCACGCGCAGCAAATAAAAACAAATCTATACACAAAAAATATAATTTTGATAGCACTTGAGTGAGATTTTTATCGTTTTGCTTTGCAATTTATGCAAAAAGTCGCTTGCCCTGGATAATTCGCAAAATGTTGTGAGCTGATGGCGGAAATGACAGCTCGCTCGTGGAACGACAAGAATTAGTAAGTGTCTGTTTACACTGACAATCGATTATGTCCCTGCGCAAGCAATATTCTAGAGCTGTCATTTATTTCGTATGACGGCAAAGTCTGTAAGTAAAAGCTATTTGTTTATCTATTTTTAGTAAAAATATTAAAAAGTTGTCCGCTTTGGAATAGTAATTCTCTTTGTAGACATTTTCTGGATAAACATGGGCATTGGTATATTTCTATCTATATATAATTGTATCGGTAGTAAAATCGATGGTATCGATGGTCGATTGATTTTTTATAAAAGTGACATCGATTGACACGTGTCAAGCACCGACTCAAGCAAGGCGAATTTATTCAAGGTGGTGTTGCTACAAATTGCCGCAGTCCTTCTGAATGTCAAAATGATGTGTTTGTTGTATTTTTGTGGTACTTGTTTTGTGTGTTTTGTATTACGGGTGTTATGTAAAAGCTCAATTCGCCCCAAAGTTTACATGTATTTTGTTTTTGCTTTTGGTGGGGGTGCTGTCAAATTAGCAAAACCAAAAACAAATTACATGTAAGACGAAGAATTCAGCTGATCTAACAACACCACCAAGGCGAATTTATACAAGGTAGTGTTGTTAGATCAGCTGATTTCCTCGCCTTACATGTATTTTGTTTTTGCTATATCTGATTTGACAGCATACAGATCAAAAGCAAAAACAAAATACATGCAAACTTTAGAACGAATTGAGATTTGATATAACAGCCGCATTACAAAATACATGTGGTTGTTGTTGTTGTATTCTTGCTACCACCTTGTTGAAATTCGCGTTCAGCACGACCTTGTATACATAAATACGCACTGATTTTTATCAAGGCGAATTTATACAAGGTGGTGTTACTGGCGAATTCAAATTTTCGCCGCGGTACCTATTAATGTCAAAATAGTGTGTTTGTTGTAATATGAATTCGCCTTATTTACAACAAACACATCATTTTGACATTGGGAAGTACCGCGGCGTAAATCTAAATTCGCCATTAACCCCCACTTGTATAAATTCGCCTTGGATTTTTATGGTATGATTTCCACGGCGAAAAATTCAGCTGTCGCCCCAACACCAGCTTATTGAATTCGCCGTTCACCGACTCATAGCATATATAAGGCGAATTCATACTAGATGGAAGCAAGGCGAATTTATACAAGGTGGTGTTACTGGCGAATTTAGATTTTCGCCGCGGTACTTATTAATGTCAAAATAGTGTGTAATATGAATTCGCCTTGTTTACAACAAACACATCAATTTGACATTAATAAGTACCACGGCGAAAATCTAAATTCGTCATTAACACAACCTTGTATAAATGGATGGAAGCATGAATACAAATACAACAACCACTTGTATTTTTTATTACGGGAGTTATCTAACATATCACTTTCAAAATAGTATCAAGCCAATCAGATCGCCAACACAACGCAGAAAGATGGCCAACTCTCAACTTTTCGCGCGTTTCGTTCGTTCGCTGTTCCAAGTAATCAAAATTATGTGATTTAATTTTACTTTTTGATCAAATGCGGGCAAGAAATATAATTTTTAATGCAATTATTATTTTAGTGACCAAAATTATTAATATAGTGACCAAAATATTCTCTGCTAAGCGTTCATTTAGCAAAGAACGTAAATATATAAGAGGAGACAACACGTTATAATTGTAGCGAGTGTGAACATCAGGAGCGTGCCTTCTCTTTTCATCCAATCTAAAAACGTATTTGGGCAAAAGAGAAGGCACGCTCCTGATGTTCACACTCGCTGCAATTATAACGTGTTGTCTCTTCTTATAGATTTACGTTCTTTGATTGTAGCAAGCACGGGCGTTACTCGCGTTGCTGTCTAAGCGACTCCACTGCCAACGCAACGCCAAAGTTGTATGTGGACGGGTCTTAAGGTAATTTGTTATGGGTGCGTGTCTTGGCTAAAAGTGATGATATGGAATGAGAGTACAATATTTTTGCGCAATCTCGAAGTATAGAGCTTGTCAGACGTGCCACTGCAATATATTTATAAAATGCTGTCAAATTAAGAAATTTTAGGGCCGGTTGCTCAAAGCCTGATTGACACTAATCACCGGTTAACATCGTTACCTCGACGTCTTCGACTCCATACATATAATACGGTGTCGGTAACGTCGATAACGATGTTTAACCGGGGATTAGTGTCAACCAGGCTTTGAGCAACCGGCCCTTAGAAAGCAATTGCATCAGCAGTCACACCTTGCTGGTAAAGTGTTTTTCGATAGTGTGACAGAAAGGTCTTTCTGGCTGTTCACACATCGAAAAAAATATCTCTTTCTAAAGTAGACATGAATTTCGTGAATAAGTTGGAAATATTGCTACGTCTGACACCCTCTTATGGGGCTTTCGCACGAGGCGATTTTTCAGGCAACTTTTGCGTTCAACTGACGCAGGGTTGCACGAAAAAAAAATTGAATGGCTAAAAATATAAATATTTAAAAAAATATTAAAATATTTGCCATAAAAAGGCGTTTGCATTGTTCAACTTTGCATTCTACTTTTGGTTGAACGGCCTTTCAACTAATCGCTTTCAACAAAGTTGGTCGCCAGCCAACATTTAGCCATTCAACTTTTTTTTCGTGCAACCCTGCGTGAGTTGAACGCAAAAATGAACGCAAAATCGCCTCGTGCGAACACCCTTTTATAGTAAACTATTGTATTGTATTTCTGATAGGTGACGCTCTTGGTTAACAACACTGCTGCGAATTCTGTGCTTCTAAATTTTTAAATTTTTAAGTGAATTTATATTTTTTTTTTGGTTTGAGAATAAAAAAAAACGCATTTAAACTTTTCTTCGAATTTACGTCTATATTTTTTGATTTTATTTCATTTCTTATTTCTATACAATAATATTCATTGCTTTTTTACAAGATGAGTAATATTTCGTTTATATTTAAGCTAATTTATGTAGATGTATAATAACTATTTACGTCGTATTTAATGTCTTATAAAGGATCTTTATCGTTTGATTTGCGCTTTTAATTTTTTTTTATTAATTACTATTTTTTGTCTTATTACATTCTTCTTTTTCCACATGTTTTTCCG